AAAAATACACCTGAAAAGGAAACCCATGTGCATTTGGTGAGGTGTTCAGCTTGCAGGCCACCTTGCCAAGAGGTCGGAGCTGCCTTGCAGAAATGAACTTCTTGTATATTGTTCTTAGTTTCTACAGTGTTCTGCCTCACAGTCCTCAAGCTGTCACATTTTACTCTGATAAAAGGGTGGAGCAGAGGAGTGCCTTCCTGGGAGACAGCTCTACCGTGACCCTGTCAGCTTTCTGCCTTGAAGGTCTGAAGAGACGTGTTGATTTCTGGTCACACGAGTGATTAAACTTCACCCCCAGTTTTCCACTACAAGTCAGTTCTCCGTCATCTACCTAGAAATGGGTTTGCCACAGTCTACTGTGTCACACTGGCTTCCCTTAAAATGTAGATACAATGGCAAGAGCAAAACTCATCTATGGAGGGAATATCACTATCTGGTCATAATATATTGATTTCCATACTGGGAATTGAACCCAAAGCCTTTCAAGTGCTAGGTGGATTCAACCATGAAGCTACATACTCCATCCTTTTTTAAAAACATGTTTTTATTTTGCAATGGAGCCCAGGCTGGCCTTGAACTTGCTATACTCTTGCCTCAGCTTCCCTAGTAGCTAATGTTACAGGCCAATGTTACCAGTTGCGGGCTTTTAAAACGTTACCTTTGTTTGGGAAATTCTGGATTTAATGCACATTGTCCTATTTCAGTGACAGTGCATTCGATGAAGGCAGCTTCTCTCTCTCTCTCTCTCTCTCTCTCTCTCTGTCTCTCTCTCTTCCCCCCTCCCTCCCTCCTCTCCCCCCCCTCTTTTTTTGAGACAGGGTTTTTCTGTGTAATAGCCCCTGGCTATCCTGGAACTCGATCTGTAAACCAGGCTGGCCTCAAACTCACAGAGATATGCCTGCCTCTGCCTCTGAGTGCTTGGATTATAGGTCTGTGCCACCACTGCCTGGCACTATTATTTTTTTTAAAGCATTTATTTAAAGTGTATGTGTGTGTGCATGTATGCACGCAAGAATGTGCCACTGCATGGAAGTTGAGGTCAGAGGATAACTTGGGGAGACAGTTCTCTCCTACCACGTAGGTCCTGGAGATTGAACTCCCTCTGGTCATGAGGTTTGGAGGCAAGTGCTTTTACCCACTGAGTAATTTCCCTGGCCTTGTTTTTACTTGTTATTGAGCTATCTTTCCATTTGGTGGGCTAGAATTCATGAACCCACAGAAACCATCATCCTGGCTATGACAGTCCAAAGTCCCTGTTCTGGTGGGGATTGCACACGAGTCATCGTTGGGAACAAAACGATTTATTGCTTTAAAAATTTTATTATTGTTGTTTCTTGAGATGGGGTCTCATTACATAGACCAGGGTGGCCTTGAACTCAAGGTGATCCACCTGCCTCTCTGTCTCCTGAGTACTGGGATTACAAGCCTGTGCCACCACACCCAGTAGCAGTAAGATACTTATTTTAGATATCTGAATAGAATGAAGTGATAAGAAGGCAAAAGGAAAATTTGAGAATATTTGAGAATATCCCTGTGGCCAGGGGAGGTTCTGGTTAGTGAACCTCAGTTGTTCATTCGTGGAGGCTTGGGTGGAGGCTCTCCCAGCCTCCCTCTGACTGCACGAAGGAACACCTAACTCCAGCACCCCTGTGGGAGAGCTTCACTGCCTTGCCATTTGATTTTCTTGAGCGGTTCATTTAGTCATAGTTTTAAAGTCATGGGGCTTTCCCTAAGCAGACCTCTCTTTATCTGGGCGTTCAAAAGAATTTTCTGTCATTTTGGTGTTTGGAATTACCACCCATGCAGGCATCAACAAATCGTCCTTGAGGGATCTTATCGAAGGACATCCCTAGTTACCTGCGGTAACCTGCACCATCCTGAGAGCATGGGTGCCTCGCCTCGAGCCCCCAGGCTGCACCTCCAGAATACCCTAATTTGATTTAAACACAAGGAAGCACTAGTACCACAATGGCTGGCGAAGCCCTCGGGGCTGGGGCTGGAGCTCCCCTCCCTGGAAGACGAAGGTGCCTGTAGGCTGCTGTCAGGGCGGTTCTGACTCTGGCTGCCTCAGCTCTGACTTCTCTACGGTACTCCGTAAAGGGCTCATCTTTTCTTTCTACTTGTGGAAGTGTACCTGTCTGCTCAGATTTCAGGAGAGAAAACCCCTTCCAAGTGGGGGAGGTATGTGAGAGATTCTAATCTGGGATTGTTGGCATGGGCGTTGTTTCTTTCCAAGTTCATGGCTCCAACTTTATCTCAGGTGTTGATTCTGGACTTTCCCTTCTTATCCCAATTTTCTTTAGTGTGGATTTTTTTTTTTTTTTACGAGATAGGGTTTCTCTGTGGCTTTGGAGGCTGTCCTGGAACTAGATTTTGTAGACCAGGCTGGTCTCGAACTCAGAGATCTGCCTGCCTCTGCCTCCTGAGTGCTGGGATTAAAGGCATGTGCCACCAATGGCTGGAACTAGCCATTTTTAACTTTAAAATTAAAATGCACAGCACACACTCGGAGTCAGAGGAACTTGTCGGGGTCAGTTTTCTCCTTTCACCAGGGGTCTGGGCATTTGAATTCAGCATCAGGCTTGGCAGGAAGTGCCTGTATATGCTGAGCTTCCCATTTCTCTGTCTCCCCCTCGTTTTCCCTGCGTGGAGATAGAACCCAAGGCCTTGACCATGCTAAGCAAGTGCTCCACGGTGCCAAACTTCCCATCCCCAAGTTTGGAACTATCAATCTAAAACTAAAGGCAAGAATTAATTAATCATTGTCAATGATAAAATACTGTAGTTAAAATTGTTTCCTTGTTCAAACATTTTTCTTCATTACAAAATAAAGCATTAATGTGTATTTCTGTTTAAGTACATAGTTGAATCTTTCAAAGAAAACTGAATTTTAAGGCTTGCCGTTAATGTGACAGACATCTCCTTTGTGCTTATGTGAAGCTATGTGAAGCCATACACAGTCCTGAAGGGGAGGTACAGTGTTTTAGAAAACGGAAAGTACTAAACCATATGATGAAACTCTCGGTAGGAAAATGCAAGCAGAACCTCTGTGGCTCTTTCTCTGAGGACTTTTCAAAGCTGCCTCTTTCCTTTCAGTGATGGGAATTGACCCCAAGGCCCCATGCACTCTAAGCAACCCATCTACAATCAAGTCACACCCCCAGTCCCCCCAAATGTTTTTCCTTAAAAAGCAAAGAAAATGAGAACCTACCTAGGATTTTTAACTCTAGTTTGAGAGTTAAAACTAGGACAATTCAGAAGAGCCAGTTTTTAAAAAGGAAAGCAGTGTCATTTTTAACAGTAGGCCTCTTTCGTGGACATGCATGTCCCGGACATGGGGAAAATCTAGGAAGCTGCCTCGGATACATAATGCAGTGGAAAACAGTCGGGGCGGCAGTGCACCCTGATGTTTCACTGCTCCACAAGAGCAGTAATCTGACACACATTCCACTGAGCATGCTCCTTAAGAGCCTCGCGTTCTGGATGCGCGGAGAATGCATGCATTGAGGACACTTCACCCCCCACCCCCAACAAACACATTCCCAGATTGCGTCTGAACACAGAGTCCAACACAGCTGCAACACAGCATGCTTTTCTGAGCCTGCAAGCTTTTACAGCTCTCAGCCAACAAGATGTTCAAGCACAGTAGAAGCCTGCCCCCTAGTGGCTGACACCTCAGACCTTCCTGTGTGACCCCAGGGACTCTGGGAGGTCGGGGCAACAGAAGCCAGACAAGCTCTGGACAGCCATTCTGCTTGCCGTCCTCAAACTTTCCCTCACACTTTCATCTTTCTCTGGAGAGTATAACTGTTTGGGTAGCTCAGAAAAGGGTGTGTGTGCTATCCAATAGTAACCTCGAACAGAATAAGGGTTTTGTTTTGTTTTTTGTTACTCTTCAAGACAAGGGTTTCTATGTGTAGCTTTGTAGACCAGGTTGGTCCTAGAACTCACTGTGAACCACCTGCCTCTGTTTCCTGAGTGCTGGCCTTAGAATGAGGTTTTTTACAGTTATCTAAAGTTCTTGGGTTTCTGGCTTTTATTGTAAAAAGAAAAGTTTCTATGTCCTTTTTGTTGTGAGTGGATACTGTGCTTAAGTCAAATAGGCCATGTAAAGGTCAGGCTTCACATTCTTTCATTAATGTTATGATGGCTTAAGGTGACTAACCCTTTGCCTGTTACTATGCAGATAGTTAACTGAAGGCCCAGGTCCAAATTGCCTTTGTGGTCTGTACTATTGTTACTTTTCAATGTGTCTCTCTGTGTGTAGTGAGTGTTTAGGTGGGCACGTGTGTGTGTGTGTGTGTGTGTGTGTGTGTGTGTGTGTGTGTAAGGGGCCACACACAGCAGGTGGGTGATGTCTTCCTCTATTGCTCTACGTCTTGTTGCCTTGAGACAGGGTCTCTTACTGAAAAGGGAGCTCACAGTTCTGCTAGGGTGGCTTTGCCATTGAGCACTCTGATCTGCTACCCCCACCCAGTTCTGGGGTTTCAGGCATGTGCAGGCTATGCCCAGCTTTCTATATGTGGGTTCTGGGGGTTCACACTCAAGTCTTCATGGTTACCAAGCAAGCACTGCTGTCCCACGAGCCATCTCCTAGCCCCAATCCTTGTGCTTTCATAGGCATAGAATGGACTGGAGAGGCTTTCTATAAAATTCTCCTTGATGTGGACTTTTGGAGGCCTGAAGTGTGTACTCTTTGTTGGGCTCTGAGGGGATTAATTTTGCCCCCCCCCTCCTCTAGAGTATATTGCTTGAACCTTCTCCCTGTTGTTGTGTTTTAATGGGTGTGTGTGTGTATGTATGTATGCATCTGGGACCCTGCACACACTAAGTATGCAGCCCGCCGCTGAGCTACGTTCTCAGTGCTGCCAGTGCCAAAGCGCTGCCTTTGGGATTTGGTTTTAGAGTCTCTGGTGACACTAAGCCCACAAAGGGGGCTGAGCCATTTCTTGGCCCCATGAGTGAGTTCCTAAGCTCCTTTCTCATTTCCTGACTTCCAGACTGCAGCTCCATGAATTCCTTGGCTCAAGTCCTTCAAGCCTCTTCCCACCTCCATGCGTTCCCCATCCATCAAGCTGCAAAACTCGTGTGAAACCCACCCCTTCCTGTAAGCAGCCTTTCCCTCCCCCCACCAAAAAGATGAAAGACAGCTCCAGGGCATGACTGGCACACTCCCAACGCACAGGAACACACCCCAAAAACAAACACAAGACTCACAAGAAGAAAATGTCACGTTCTCTAAAGACCCCAAGAAGGTGAGAGCATCATTTAAAAAAAATACCAATTAGTCACCATCACTTCAGATAATGAGAGATGTTTTGTTATTGTTGTTTTATAGGGCTGTGCTATTACAGCTCAGGCTGACCAGGAACTAGCAATGTAGCCCAGGCTAGCCTCAAACTCATGATTCTCCTACCTCAGCCTTCTGAGAGCTGAGTCACAGGAAAGTGATGAGCTACTTGTAGCAGTTATGGGGATTCTTCAGCAAAATGTGTGGCTGTTGTCACTGATTTTGTATTTATTTTATCTATTGTTTTGTTTTGGTGCCAGGGAAGGGGCCCAGGGTCTTATATAACAGAGGGAAATTGCTACTCATGAACTAGACAACACAAAGTTGGCCTCCACAGCATCTTTTGTTTTGTTTACATATTTTTCTTTTGAGACCGTCTCATGGAGCCTATGCTGTTTTCAAATCTTCTATGGATCCTCCTCCATTTTCATGTGCTAGGATTACAGGCACTCCCCACACCACGCTGGGACTGGGAGCCTGAATGATTGACATGCTTCCCAGGGAATCGGGGCCACTGTGTGGGCACAAAGGACATGGCTTTGCTGGGAAAGACCTTGCTGACTTCCGACAGGCCTTCACATCCACTCAGGCTCTGGAGCCACTGGCTCTTCAGGAGCTCTGGATCTGAGGCGATCACACAATACAGACACGTGTACTCTCGTGATGCCATGCTCTCATGACTGCTGAGGCCAATGTGGAGGCCAAGAGACTTGTGGTACAACATAAGCAGAACGAGGAGAAACACAAGACGAGATGGCAACAGCTGGCAACTGGAACATGGCGTCAAACACCACGGCCACAGAAGCTTGCTAGCTATGGGCCACGCTGTGCAGCCTCAAAGCAAAACTATTGATTTTTTGGTTGTAAAAAAAAACAAAACAAAACCCCCAAAACCTACCTTCAACTGCAGAACTCAGTTTTATGACACCTTGAATAAAAACAAAAGATGGTAGTTATATAATGGACCTGGGTTACCTTTTTTTCCCCCCAGTTTTCATATAACACACGTACATTTCAGGTCTGGAGATATATATATATATATATTGGAGATATATATATATATATATATATATATATATATATATATATATATATATATATATATTTGTTGTTGAGAAATTAAACAATTTCAGAAAGAAACACAAGCTATCAGCAACTCCTGGTTTTTACTGCATCTGAGAATCATTTTACGCATGTTGGGACAGAATTTGTGTTGAAATATGTAATAGCAGTTGAAAACCCAAGGCATCTCTCTCAGCATCCTTCCCCAGAACTGTTTGGGCAAGAAGCTGTTTTCTCAGTCTTCAGAGGTTTAACTTTGTCTTTGCAGGTGAAACAATGAAAAGGCTACCCGGGTATGTCAAGTTTATCATGGAGAAAGTAGATATTACCCATAACTGGACTGTTTGTTTTCCCCCAAACTTAAGGTGAAAATGCTTAAACGTAGGCCTGGTCCAGCAATTTGATTTAGAACATAATCTTCGTAAGCCACAGCTGTAAATAGATAACGTTCTCCAGTTTCCTTCTAAAATCTGTATGTGTGAGAGACATGGATGAATACAGGTGCCCCACTTGGTCAGAGGACAACCTTGTGTATTGTCCCCTCCATCTACCTAGCTTGAGGTGGCACCTTGCTCTGTGCTGTGTTTGTCGGGCCAGCTGGCCTGTGCTTTCCAGGATGGTCCCGTCTCTCTGCCTCCCTGAACAAGCTTTCCATGGATTCTGGGGATCTTGTACTCCAAGCTCTTTTATCCACTGGGCCATCTCAGCAGCCCCTATTTTCTGTGCCACAGCTATGGTGTTTCACACGGTGCCCAAAGTATCCATAGCATCATCTGGTTGAAGATGCACCTTGTCTTTTAAACTGGAAAGATTTCTAATTTAAGTGGAAACAGAAGTCTTTTCAATACCACCAAAGCCAGCTGGTCTCAGACAGCCTGCACACTGGTGTCATGGCGAGGCCAGTAGGTCAATGTGCTCACTGCAAATGCCACTAATGTAAACAGTGTGTAGCATGTGCTCTATGACCACGAAGGCATACTGACCATAAGGCAACTTCCAGAGAGCAACCGACCTTATTAACGAATGAAGTCTTATGTTAGCACCAGCAATTCAAACCGTAACTAGTGCCTCTCCCCAACAAATCATACATTGATATACACGCCAATCCGACCTTTCTCCAATAAATTTACTGTCATTATGTCTTTATGATCTTAACCCATTCCTCATATACATTGTTTTCTTTAGGTTAAAACTGTGTTTTAATGTCTGTAAAAACTCATATTTTGAGGTACCCCTTTGGATGTGGGGCTGGGAAGAGGTGTTCAGTAACCACAGCAAAAAGCTGCAAATAGCTCCAGGAATAGGAAGTGATAAGTTGTTGTTAGGAATTCCAGGATTTTAGTAACCTGTGACCATTGTTCCACCAGTGCTGGGCATTGAAAATACAAACAAACAAACAAACAAACAAACAAAAAACAGTCAAGCTGGAGGTGCAGGTCAGTGGTCCAGTTCCAAGACTCTTGATAGCATTAAAACATCATGCATTGTCTGCCTCTGAACTATCCAGCCTTTACTTTTGTTTTTAAAGTAGATTTATTGAATTGTGAGTTTATATAATTGTAATAAGGAGCTCACAAGCTTCCTGGGAAATGCAAGAACTAGAGAGATGGCTTCTATAGGTCACAAGGAGCCAGCCTTTGGACACCGAAGCAGTAGCCATTGACCTCCACTAAGAACAAAAACTAAGAGGGTTTGCCCCCTTTTTGTGGTCAGACAATTAAACCAAGAGGTAAAGACCGGCCTGAGCACTAGACATATTAATGATCTGCCATATTTGAACAGTAGGAACTTCACATAGGTTAAACGTGAACTTTTCTTGTGTGTATACATAGTGTGTGGGGAGTGTGAGCATGTGTGTCAGAGTATGTACAGGTCAGGGGACATCTCTGTGAATTCGGTTCTCTCCTGCCTTAAGGTGGATTCCTGGAATCAAACTCGGGTCGCCATGATTATACTGCTAGTGTCTTTACCCACTGAGCCATCTGACCCATCTCTCAGTCCTATTCCTTTTTGCATGTAACTGGTGTCAGCAAATGTGGCTCTGTAAAACAATGTGTGCAAATTGTGTGAGAGAGTCTCTCTGTGACGAACACCTAAACAAATTCTAGGACTGAAGTGGCCTCAGAGGGAACTGGTTATCTCAGTTAACTCCTAACTTGGTGGTGATCTGTGTATAGCCCTTACCCCCGACCCCCATTGTCCTGAGGGAGGGAGCCAATGGCCAGCCAGGTGTGCTCTGGCCATTCCCAAAAGCAGTGTGTTCTCTCCTGTATGCCTTTCTTTGGCTGCGTTTGCTCAATGCAGTCCTAGGGGGTGAACTGGACATCATGCATGTGATTCTTTGTGTTTGCTTGCTGCAGTCCTAGGGGGTGAATTGGATGTCATGTATGTGACTCTTTGCCCGTGTTTGCTTGCTGCAGTCTTAGGGGGTGAACTAGATGTCATGCATGTGGGGCAATGATCGACCACAGTGCTAGGCCCTGAGCTCTCTTTTTACTTTGGGTGTTGAGCTAGTTTTGTAGGATGGCCAGGTTGGCCTTGCATCCACTCTGTAGCTCACACAGGCCTTGAATTTATAATCCTCCAGCCTCTGTTTCGAGGGCAGTTAGGATTATAGGTCTGCTGCCAGGGCCATTCCCTTATTACCCAAATGGATGCCACCACCACCATCTTTGGTGCTGAAGATTAAACCCAGGAGCTTCCCTTTACAAAGTCCATGCTCTTCTACTGATCTACAACCCTGACCCCATAAGCGATGATTGATTCCAGCTGTTCTAAGAGAATTCACAGGAGAAAGAATCAGGTTGAATCATGCTAAAGTGTGAACGACTAGAGTTTACTAGGAGCCTGTGGTGGCATGTCACTGCTGGTGAAAGACCGAGCCAGTTTTCCAGCCTAATGAGACACCCTACCTTTCCCGATAGTCCTCTCTGTGCTCTTCAATGCTCGCTCCTTTCTGCCCTGAGCTGGCCTAGCTGCTGCTCCACCCGAGCTGTGGAATCTTTCCGTACCTCTTTCTCTTCATTCAGACTTTGCTCCAAGGCCCTTTCCTCAGAGTCCTCCTGGTGGCTGCATCTGGAGAAGCCCACAAACCCCCCTCTGTGCTAGGCTTTGAGTTGACATCTCTATTGTAGTCCTTGGCTCACACACCTGTCTTCCTCAGCAGGGCCCAGTGAGATCTGTCCATCTTGTTTGTTTCTGGAACCTCTTGCCCAGTAGAATTCATCGAATAAAATGAGCACCCAGTAAATACCTTTAAAATACTTTATTTTTTGAGACAGAGACTCATGACAGACCAGTCTGATCATGAACTCAACATGCAGCTGGGGATGTCCTTGGTCCTCGTGACTGCTTCCTGAGTGCTGGGATTACAGGCGTGTACCACCGTGCCTGCCTAGTAAATAGTGAATGAATTAACTGAATGGTCCCTGCCAAGGTCCCACATCACGGAGCTTCAGTTGTAGCAAGTGTATTTCCAATGTATTAATTGTGAACAGTATTGAGTGGGACACTGAGAGTTCATTACACTGATCACTGTCTGTTCGTTTCTACTCAATGACTGGTCTTTGGGTGTGTGTCGGGGAGAGGGTTGTTGGGGGAGATGGAGGAATGGAGAGAGAATATATGTAAGTTTCAGTAGATATAAGGTACTTCCTATTGTAACAGTAACAAGAGCTCAAAGAAATCTGATTGGCTGGCTACTTGTAGCAAGAGTGTGCCCTCATTAGATGCCAAGAAATATTAATGCATTGGTTTTATATCCAAGTATCACAAGAATCTGTAGTTCTCTTCAGCATCATCACCCAGTCCCTAACTATAGCAGAGTTCATATGATAAGACAGAGAAAAGAACAGCTCAAAAGAGTGGCTGGGGTCTCCTGAGGGCCTGGGTCACAGGTGTGTGTCACCACGCCTGGCTGAGGACCGTTCAGTTTTTAATATCCTGACTCTAATTAGTTGCTGTCCTGCAGCTGGCAGGGCCCCTCAGAAGGTCCTCACCCCTTTAGACTCTTTCAGTGGCATTGAATTATTTTTCAGACAAAAAATCCTCAATGCAAGCTGCAGGAGCTTTCAGGGTGTCACCTAAGCAGAACAAAAGACAGCTCTACGCCCACGTTCATCTACAGAGACAGACTCCCCTGCCCCTGGAGCGACTCAAATCTCTGAGTCCTCTATCAGAAGATAGGAAGGACCCTCTGCCTACACTGTGTCCAGCTGATGAAGCCCCAGGTGCCCTCTTCCTGTCTCTTGGGGGTTAGAAGCAGCTGTTGCTGAGGTGTAAGAGAACAGGGAGGAAACCACCGCTGGAAACAGGAGAGACACTGATCCTTTTATGTGGTGAGAAGACTTCCCGCCACATTGTCCCTCTAGTAGAGGGGAAAATAGACCTAACAAAGGCCTGGTTTCACTTACTGAGGGGACCAATCCAGGCTTTCAGAAGTGCTAGGGAAGGGCTCTCCCTCTGAGCTACCCTCAGCCCAGAAGATTTCCAAGTTCAGGGCTTCAAATGCCTCCCCTCCGAATTAGAGCTGCACATGGTGAGGTCCAGACAAAGAGTCTAAAAAACAAAACGAAAAACAAAACACACACACAAACAAAAAAACAATAACAAACAAAAAGCTGTATTTTAAGAAACACTTAGCAGAAACACAAAGAGGCAGGACTCTCGAAGCCAAAACACAACAGCAAAATAAAAATATAAGAAATAAACTATTGGTCCTACTTTTCCAGAAAGATGGCCATTATGACCCCCCCCCCTTTTTTTTTTTTTTAAGAAATCAGAAATATTTAAGCATGTGTCCTCTGGAGTTCTTAAAACTGAGAAAAAAGACCATAGGAATCGGAAAGCTGCTTCCCAGTTCCCAGCTCCGTTTTTGAAGAGCACTATAGACGTGTCTTGTTTAGCAGACAGATGTCTAGTGAGACCCAGCGGAAGGCCACAAAGATTCCAAGAGAATCGAGGGAGGAGCCACACCACCAGATGGACAAAGTGAACAGGGGACTTCAATGTGCATAGCTGTGACATGGCCCGAGGAGATGAATCAGCTCAAAGTTTTATTTCCTATGGAAAACAGATAATTCAGAGTATGTGACAAGAATCTGCTACCTGGACCCAAGAGCTGTGAAGAATCATTCCCAGGAAGCAGAACTGGGCTCCTCAGTTGAAGAATAGGTTTCAGAACCACTGTGGACCTCAAATTACCACGGGGACTCTTCTTCCATTTTGAGTAGAAATTTTCTAGTTTAGATGGGAATGCCCTCCTAATGCACATGTGTGTTAGGGAAGGCTTGGTCCCCAATGCAGTGTTCAGGAGTGGGATTCCAGGCAGGGGTGATGGACTGGATCACAGGGACATTAAGCTAGTCAATAAGTGGATTAAGCCACTGGTGGATTCATAACTGAAAGGACTGTGGGAAGAGGAGCCTGGTTGAAGGAAGTGGATTACTGGGGTCTACCTTTGAAGGGCATGGCCGTTTGGATGAAAATGACCCCCATAGGCTCATAGGATGTGGTACTATTAGCAGGTGTGGCCTTGTCAGAGGAAGTGTGTCACTGAGGTGTGTGTTTTGAGGCCTCAGATGCTCAAGTGACGCCTAGTGTTGCTCTTTTCCTGTTGCCCTTAGATCCAGATGTAGAACTCGCAGTTCCTTCTCCAGCAGCATGTCTGCCTGCACGCTGCCATGCCTCCCGCCATGATGACAACGAACTAAACCTCTGAAACTGTAAGCCAGCCCCAGTAAGAGTTGCCATGGCCATGGTGTCCCCTCACAGCGTTAGAAACCCTATTGTCTACAACTTCTGTCTGTCTGCTTTTCCAGCTGCCTCGAGGGAGCTTGTCACAATGCTCTGCCTTAATACAAGCCTACAGTAACAGAGCCAGCCGACACTGGACTGCGACCCTGAGCCAAACCGAGTCCCCATTCAGTTGCTTTGTGCAGTGATGAGCAACTGACAGCGGTCAATGGGTTTTCTCTTCCTACATCAAACCTGTTGGATATAGGTGGCTCACAGACCTTTAGTTCACAAACTTTGATGTCTTCTCAACCTCACTTGGATAGCAAAGATCTCAAACTTGTGCGTGGAAGTTATGAGGTCGTTGATGGTGAACATGGCTTTACAGAGGATGCAAATACCTCATGTGAGGTAGATGAACTGAGGCTGCCTTCCCATAGGGAAATGGTATCTTGGTCACTCCTCTTGATGTATGTGGGCTCTGTGACTGCTTTGACCAACAGAATAGAGTAGATGTGAACACTGAGTATTTGGACTTGGACCTTAAGACTTCCTGTCATGAACACACTCTCTAAGACTCCTGACATGTTAGAGGTTTAGAAACCACAAGGCTAGAGGTGTAACTTACAATATCAGTTAGCATTGGGCCTTTGTTCCAGCCATCCAAACCAAGGAGTCAGGCCCATGAGTGATGACATCACAGATCCCCTGGTTTAGGCCACCTGTGATGGCTAGCTTTCCTCTCAACCTGATTGGGCCTTGTGGATTTGGTCAAGCACTGTTTCGGGTGTATATGTGAAGGCTTCTCTGGATGAGATTAGTGTTTGAATTAGTGACTGGGTAAAGCAGACTGCCCACTCTGATGTAGCTGAGTCTCATCCAGTCTGCTAAAGGCCGGAATAGAGCTGAAAGGTGGACTGTGGGGGAATTCTCCATCTCTCTGCTGGGACACTGGTCTCCTGCCTTTAGACTTGGACTGGAATTCATGTTTTTCTACCTGGTTACCAGATCTCTGGACTTAGAACTATAGTACCAGATCTGCCTTTTATTGCAGATCTTGGGACTTCCAGTCTCCCTAATCAGTGAGTCAGCTCTGAAACACCTTAGCACCCCAGCTTCTGGATACACACAGGACAGAAGAGTCACTGCTGAACATGGCCAAAACCCTTCATGCAAAACTGTATATTTGATCAGTTTTCCTCCCTGTGACAAAACAAAATACCCAAGGGAACTAACTTAAAAAGGTATAAGAATTTCTTTTAGCTCATGGTTTTGGTTCCTAGTTGCTTTGCTATACTGCTGTGGGCCTGTGGCAGCAGGCTGTATATCTTGGGGGGGACACAGTGGAGGAGGACTGCTCACTGTGAAAAGGAGGGAGGCAGGGGAAATGAGAGACAGAGAACAAAAGGTAGTGGGGGAAGGGAGTCTCAGTATCTCCTCCAGGCCATGACCGAATGAATAACTTCCTAAAGTTCCATCTCCTTCTAGAAGAGCCACAGGGGAGGCTGGGGGGGGGGGCACAGACTCATTTCACATCCTAATTACAACGCAGAATCTGATAAAAAAAAAAAAAGGTTGTTTATGAGCAAGTATGCATTCCAAGGTAATAGGGTTCACAGCAACAGATAAGCAAGAGACAACGCTATCTCATCCTCCGGACCTAACAATTGTCTCACCTCTTGGTTTTCCCACACCCCGGCCAGCCGCCCTTGCCACCCTTTCATTTCCCCAAACGCTAGCTGGACCTTTCTCTCACCCTGCCCTTCCGTCATTGCCAGCTTAGTATGTGAGGGGTTTTCTTCAGAAGTTTCCCCCATGCCTTTTTCTCCCTTAGTTGCTTCCTTGTAGTGGTTTCTCCTATCAGCACCGAGTTCTTTCCCTTTGGAGCCATCATTTTTGATGATTTACACTGGTCCTCACCTCCTGACTGTAAACCTCATGAGAACAGAGAGCAAGTCTCCCCTTTGATCACTGAGGAATTCCTGGCTTCGGCACAGTGGCTGGACACAGCCAAGTGCCGGATAAATATTTGTTAAGCAGATGAATGAAATATTTGATGTTGCTGATAACTCCTGGGTCCTCACCACAGTCTCAGTAAGGCACCACTATTCTTCTTGCTCATGTGCTGTGCAAACCTGGAAATCCAGCCACAGGAACTGGGCAAGACCGTGTGACTGATTTATTAATCGCTGGGCTGTGGTCTGTGAGGGCAGCTGAGCACCCCTGAAGACTCTAAGCCCAGGAAAAAGAGCCATGAGAGCCCTGGGGGATGTATGGGTTGGGGATGCAAGTTGGGGGGCGGGGGAGGATTTGTGCTCTGTTCCATTATGGCATAAGGGAAAATGGGGTAAGGATTTACTTGAGTCTTGGGAAGTTAGTGGCCATCTTGGGAGTCCTGAGAAGTTGGTGGCATTGAGACTGTTTGAAGCACTTCTAGGATGAAGTTAGAAGCAATTTCTTGCTGGGTCAGGAGCTGTTTTCTGCCCTACATCTCTACAGGAGAAAGAAGCTGTTGTCTCGGCCAGGCAAAGCTGCCACCTTCTATGAAACTGCTCCCAGAATTTTATTCAACCCGTCCTGGGAATGCACCTCAAGGTATTGGTCCTCTAGATAAGGAAAACAGTGGCTCTCTTACAGTTTTTCTTCCCCCATCACGTAGCCATCATTGTGTCCAATAGTGAAATAAGTGCAAGTCTTTATAACTTCATTTTATAATTTAAAAGTACCTTGCTTCACACCCTTCTGTAAGTGGCACCCCTTCCTTTACTCTCTCTCTTTCTGTCTCTTTCTCTCTGTCATATAGGGCATGGAATCCAGAGCTTCGATACAAAAACACAGCTCTCGCCTCAAAGGAAATAAGACTTTGGAGCCAGATGTGAGTGACCATGGTCTAGGACCCCCCCTTCCTTCCAGTGTGGTAACAGTTTGATGACGTTTATATAGTTACAGAACAAAGAAAGTCATGAAACAAGACACTTTAAAGTAGATGGGTGAGAACATTAGATGTGACTTCCAAGGTGTGGCTCTGCTATTGGGCATAAATGCTACTGGATGGCATTCTTAGCCTCTGGGCTGGTGGAAGCTAGTGGTCTGTTAGTACACTGTAAAAGGGCTTAACTGGAGATAACTCCTGGGTCCTCACCACAGTCTCAGTAAGGCACCAAGTTAGCCCAACTTGGTGGGCAACGATGGCTTTTAAGGGGCTAAGGAAAGATGAAGATAGTTGGGCCCCAGATCCAAAGCATTACAACTCTCCACAACCCCAGATTCTAACTAGGCAATCAGCTTCATAGGTGGACTATCTTCCTATCCTCCTTCAATCGTCCTCTCGCCCCTAATACCTTTCTTCCTTTTGTCGTTTTTAAAGGCAGGGTTTCACTGCACAGCCCTGACAGGTTCACAACTCAGGACTCAAAGAGATCTTCCTGCCGGCGCTGGCACATCAGGCTAGCTTTTGTACGCTTTAACACAGCGAGGTTTATTGTATTTGCTGGGCACTGCGTCACACTCGCCGACTGGTTCTGTGGACCTGATTTCATGGAAGTGGGTTTATAGCATGACTCTAGCAAAACTTGATCCTTTAACAAGAACTCACCTCACCGTGTCAGGGCTGCCTCATTTTCCTAACAGTCACCTGTTCAAGACTGTGCCCACTGCACTCTGATCGGTGCGCACCACTCCCATGGGGTGCACAATACCATGCTTGTCCTCTTTGAATGTGTAACATTTGAAAGCACAGGGGGCAGGAGGCAGATGTAAGCACACCTTTGATCTCCCATCCTTGCGGGTTAGGGAGGGCAGACACCTGGCGGTTGTGGTTGCAAACTGGAAACAACGCTGGCTGGCGGGGACCGGAATGACCAGAAACGCGGCCGGGCCGCTGCCCGGTTGCTTGGGCAGCTGGAGCTGGTTGTGTGTGTGCAGGCAGAAGGCCTGGTCCCGGGCAGCACCCGGAACGACAGAGCTGGGGCGCCAAGGGCAGACACTTCCTAGGCAGGAGGCCAGGAAAGATCCGGCAGCTGCGTTGAGCAAAGTCAACAAGGATGCAGTGACTGCAGCTGTGCACCGATGCCACGGCTATCTTGGTGACGATGCAGGGAGCTTCTAGAAAGGGTATCTAGAGCGCTCTCTTTCCTTTGCGGAACAATTAAGGATTTCATCCTGGCACCAAGATGCCACAATGCTTGCTTTCAAGTTCCCGAGTCTTCGGCGAGATTGTACTGCCCCCTGCCGTTTAGGTGCTGTCATTACGCCATTCCCCGGGCAGTCAGAGCCGTTAATCACACCATCAATGGTGCGGCTTCCGGTTTCCCTTGCACGGTGGGAGGGGGGTCTAGCAGCGCAGGGTTGAAACCCAGTTTTAAATTCCCAAGTCAGACCTGGGAGGGAACTTCAGAATTAAAGTCCTTCCTTCCCCACGCTGAGCCGGGTCTTCTGAGATGTTCCACAAGCTTTGATCAGTCAGTTGTTAATGTGGTTTCTGCACTCCCGGGTCTTTTCAGGGTCAACCCAAAAAAACGAGGCCTGGGCTGGAAAAAAATCTTTCCTGACATCGCTTCAGCAATTGGCACGTGACAGGTGATGGATGTCCCCTTTTTCTGTCAAGCTTCCCCATCAGCGTGGAAAGGCAAGGGATACTCCTGATCCGCAATTGACAGCCAGTGTGGTCTGGCTCTGTTCAGCGAAGTGTCCAGTAAAAGACGGCCATGCATTGTCCACACGCAGCAACCCTATTTATTCATAAAGTATCAGATGCTCGATCAATCATAATACAGCAACCTGACACGGCAAGAAGGCAGGTTGTGGGGTGAGGCATGAAAGTGAAGGTCGGAGGGCAACCTCCGGCTCTGTTCTCCTGCACCTCCTTTTTTTTTTTTTTTTTTTTTTCCCCGGAGACAGGGTCTTTCATTGGCTGGGAGCTTCCACAAGTAGGCTACTTGCCCAGTAAAGCTCCTCGGATCCGGTGGCCCATCTTGCTATTAGGAGATGATAAGTTCCCAGATATTAAACCAGTTCTGGGGAATTGAACTTGAGGCAAGCATCTTACTGACACAGCCATCTCACCAGCCAGCATGTTTTAGTGGAATGTTTAGAATAACACAAAACTAGATAACATCTAGTTGCAATAGTTGGGAATCCATGAAGCTACTCAGACTTTGGCTTGCAGCATCTCGTGGAGGATGGTCACCTCCCTGGTGAGATCACAAATGTCGTTTGGATAGGTATTTCTAGGATCAGTGTTGTGTTTCTTAGATGATGTTATTGAAGGGCCCTGGGCGCCCACACTGCTACTGAGGTGTACTGCTGATCTGAATTAATACTACTTATAAAAACTGTGCAGGCAGTTTTTATAAGGGTCCTGAAACAGGTCCCTGATGGAGGGACCCGTTACTCTACTTCTCAATAAAACCATGCTTGCTTTTAGACTCCCCCGCCCTCTGAGATAGGCTCTTAGGTAGCCTGGCCTGGCCTCCAGGTCTGCCCAAGGATGACTTTGAACTCCTGATCCTCTTGCCTCTAGTGCTGGGATTACAGGCATTTGTCACTGTGCCCTCCCTACTCCTTTATGACATGTTTATTTAATTGAACAGTTTCAAGGTGGAAGGCATGATTCATGGTTGACAGGGGTAAATGTTCTATCACTGAGCCAAACTTCAGCTATCGTTTGCATCTCTTAAAAGCTGACTAACAAGAGAGTCAGATAACTGTTAAGCACTCACTGTATTCACCTTACTGTATAATCCCAGTTTTAAGGCAACATAGATCAGGGTTCTTAACTTTCCAGATGTTTTCCATTTCTTATTGAAAACACATACTAATTATATACAATAATGGGTTCTGTCTTAGTCACTGTTCTAAGTTCTGAGAAGAGACACCATGAGTAAGGCAATTATTATAAGGGAAAGTATTTAATTGGGGACTTGCTTACAGTTTTAGAGGTTTAGTTTATTATAATAGCTGGGAGCATGGCAGCAGCTGAGTGCTCTACATACTGATCAGTAGGTAGGTAGAGAGAGAGAGATTGGGATTGGTATGAGCTTTTAAAACCTCATAGCCCACTCCCAGTGACACACTTCTTCTAACAAGGCTATACCTCCTAATCCTTCTAATCCTTTGAAATAGTGCCACTCTCTGGTGACTAAGTATTCAAATATGTGAGTCAAGGCCTATTATTCAAACCACCATATATTTCATTATGATATTTTCATACTTGTATAGAACACATTTTGTTCATTTTTACACCCCCTTCTCTTACCCCCCCACTCTTGCTTGCCTGCTTCCTCTTCGCATCTAGTCTTTCTCTATTAATTAATTTATTCTTTTCCATTAGGGTTGCCTATAGAAGTATAAGCAGTAGTCATTAGTGATGGCACTGAAGACGATTTGTCTCTTGGTCTATAGAAATGGCCCAGTGGTTAAGAGCACTTGCTGCTCTTGCAGTGGGCCCAGGTTTGGTTCCCAGCACCCACATGGCAGCTCACGACACCTGAACTCTAGTTCCGGGGGATTCAGCCTCTGTAGGCACCAGGCATGCATGTGGGCAATACTCATACACACAATAAATTAAAAAGAAAAAAAGGTGTCTTTCCCTCCCCTACCAACCATCAGCTGCTGGGAGGACCTGGAGGAGGAGTGATCCCTGAACCTTTCCTTACTCATAACTTCATATTGTGTTGCAGCTTTAAAATTTTACCTCTGTGCTGATGGGAAACTATGTGTCACTAAAAAGCTAAATTTTTATTGCTAGACTAAGATGGTCAAAGTGAGACCATCCAAGCATCTTCTGCAGGGTTGCTGTGTATTTGTGACATGCGCAGGGCAACCCCAGATTTATACAAAGATGGATCAGGTTGATGATTTAGAAAGATACAAATGTATATATTTGTGGGAGCCTAGAAACATATGTTCTTTTTCAGCAGGAGAACTGGACCTTCTAATGAAACATCCAGTGATGTACATGGATCATGAGTTCTACACAGCTCACAGATCATACCTCGGCTTCCTTAGAATTCCAGTGCATTCCAGCAAGACTGACTGCTGAGAACTGTCAGCCTGGCCTTCGGGTGAGTGCAAGATCCACCACCCTGAATAGACAACCCCTTCTTAGAGGTTTTCTTTTACACATGGCAGAGGATTTGCAGGAATGATGAGGATGGGGGCGGGTTATGCTTTCTTTACAAATGCAATCTAGCATACATTTGTAGGATCTTTGTGAGAAATTTCTAAGCAACTATTTTTCTTTTATGTGTATGAGTGTTTGGTCTACAGGCATGTCTGCATATCACATGTGTGCTTGGTGCCCAAGGAGGCCAGAAGAGGGTCCCTTGCAAATGGAGTCACAGATTGGGAGCTGCCATGTGAGTGTTGAGAATTGAATGCAGGTCCTCTGGGAGAGTAACAACTGCTTTAAAGGCTGAGCCATCTCTCCCCCTCCTCTGAGGAATTTGAACCTCAGCCTCTATAAATTTAAGTCACCATTCTGATTATAAGTGCTTAGATGAACTGTGTCCCAAAACTGATGTTTGACAGCTGCTGTGTAAGCAGAATGTACTCGCTTTTATCCATAAACCAATGAATATTCGCTTTCCCATAACTAAGTGCATTAAGACTGGTTTAATAAAAACACCCAAGTGACCTGGTAGACATTGTTTAACAGCCCTATTCTTGTTTCTGGATCCCTGAAGCCGCTGACCAGACACTGGCTTTCCTGAGCTGAGATTATGTCTAGTTCTGTCTTTGATGCTTTTCAACCCTTCAGGCTCTCATTGCTCCCCTTACTCTGAAGCACTTTAAGTCTAGTCACTTTCTATCCTCCTCCTGCCCCTGGAACTCAATGGAGGAAGAGGCAATTCATTTTTTCTGCCCACACAGGTCACAGTTACACGGGGACCACAGTGTTTCTTAGCTCCAATCTTCAGAGCCAGTCACAGAGTGAACACAATATGTCTACACAGTACATAGGAGTCTCCCTGATAATGCAGTGCCCTTAGGTGCAGCCTGGTCACTGGCTCACTGTGGGTGTCTGCTAGGTTGGGATAAATATCCCCACGAAGGCCTAGGGCTTTATCCTAGCCTGGGCACTGTTGGGACATAGTAAAAACAAACAAACAATCAAAAAAAAAACACCCCAAAACTTTAAGAAATAGGATCCAGTGGGAGAGTTTAGGTCTTTGGGGAAGTGGATGTGTGCTAGTTTTATGTCAACTTGACACAAGCTAGAGTTATCTGAAAGGAGGAATCTCAATTGAGAAAATGCCTCCATAAGATCTTAGTGATTGATGGATGTGGGCCCAGCCCGTTGTGGGTTGTATCATCCTTCAGCTGATGCTCCTGCGTTCTATAGAAAAGCACACAGCCAGTAAGCAGCTCCTCCACGGTCTATGCACCAGATCCCACCTCCAGGTTCCTGTCCTCACTGCTTTTTTTTTTTTTTTTTTTAGACAGGGTTTCTCTGTGTAGCCCCTGCTGTCCTGGTATTCACTCTGTAGACCAGGCTGGCCTCCAAGTGCTGGGATTAAAGTTGTGAGCCACTACTGCCTGGCCAGCCCTCACTGCTTTTGATGATGAGCTGTTACATGGAACTGTGAGTGACATAAAACCTTTCCTCCCCAAGATGCTTTTGCTCATGGTTTCGTCACAGCAACACTAACCCTAACTAAGACAGCATGCATGCCCTCAAAGGTGATACGGGGATCTCTCTGTCTCTCTGTCTCACCCACCATAGGCCTAAAAGACCTTTAAAGCTGGGAGTCCAAATCCTGTCTTCTTTTTTTAAAGCTTTCTTCTTTTTAAGATAGCTCATCTCAGATATTTGCTACAGTAGCAGAAAGCTAACTCAGTACCAAAAAAAAAAAAATTGCTAAAGGAAGGGATTCATAAATTGACAGATCATACTCTTGCTTTGATTGGCTGTGTCTAGTGAAAAAGGTCATATCACAGGAACTGATTATTTCAGTTGGAGACGCGGCCAATTCTTTTCACAAAGGTAGAAAACTTTTTTTCTCTTGGCTTTTCCTAGGCAAGCATTTCTCCCTCCCGCACCCCCTCCTCCCCCATTAAGTCACATCTGTAGCCTGAGAAAACAGGTTTTTAACTTGCTTTCCATTTTATTTACTTGCTTATTTATTTGTTGTCTTTTGAGACAGGGTCTCACTGTGTAGCTGTGGTAAGGTGTTAGGAGTGTAGCTTTGTTGGAGGAAGTGTGTCACTGTGGGGGCGGGCTTGGGGGGGTCTCATGTACGCCCAAGCCACACCCAGTGCTTCAGACCCCTTCCTGTTGTCTGCAAGATGTAGGACTCTCAGCGACCGCCACAGCACCACGTCTGCCTGCCTGCCTGCCGCCATGATGATAATGGACTAAACCTCTGAAACTGTGAGTGAGCCCCCTTTAAAAGAGCTGCTGCGGTTATGATGTCTCTTCACAGCAAAAGAAACCCTAACTAAGACAGCAGCTCTGACTGTGCCGGAACTCCTCGTTCTGTAGACCAGGCTGGCTCGAACTCAAAAGAGACTCCCCTACTTCCTTCTCCTGAGTGCTATGGGATTAAAGGCCTGGCACCGCCATGCCTGGCTTGACCTGGCTTCTTCAACAGATTATTCTCTGTCCCACACTCAAGCAGGATGGAAGGAAGGAAGCTGAAGCAAATATAGTATTAATGAAGTCATTTCCCCTTTAGAATCTATTTTCAGATGCTCTTTTCCTCAAGCTTAGCTAGTTGGTTCCCAGTGGAGCCACAAGAGTAATTCTCTAAAATCTGGGATCATGTAGCCTCTTTGTTGAAATCAAGCAGCAACTCCTATTTTTCTTATTGTAGGAGGCAGATCCTCCCCACCGCCAACCCATGTTAGAGCAGCAATAAAGGCCCACGAAGGGAATAACTGTTGTAAAAGACTCAAAACAAGATAGGTTATGAAGACTCTGGCTTTTTCTGAAAGACTTAAAATAATAATAATTATAATAAAAAAAATTATGGGCCAGGTGGTGGTGGCAGACACCTTTAATCTCAGCACTCAGGTTGCAGGCCGAGCTCTTAAGTTTGAGGCCAGCCTGGTCTACAGAGAGAGAGTTTCAGGAAGGACAGCATTTTATTTTAGGTGTGTGTTTTGCTGGTATGTATCTCCGTGCACCATGTGGGTGCTTTGGCGTCTATCATGGGCAGAAGACAGCACCAGATCCCCTGGCGCTGGAACTGTAAGATGCCACATAGGTGCTAGGAACTGAACCTGGGCCAATTACTTTACAGCAGCAGGATATTCACAGGATAAACAGATGTGTGTGATGCGCCTGTATGCAGGAAAGATCGATGATGACTTCAGCTGTGACCACTTTGCTCTTTGTCTCTTCCCTTAATTTTAATTTTTTCATAGTGTCAGGGACCACACCCAGGGCTTCCAACATCTGAGGCTATGTTCTACCACTGAGCTGCACATCCAGTCCAGGATTTGCTTGGCTCGAGTTGGTTTTTTTTTTTTTTTTTTTTTTTTTTTTTTAAGATTTATTATGTATACAACATTCTGCCTGCACACATCCCTGGAGGCCAGAAGAGGGCGCCAGATCTCATTACAGATGGCTGTGAGCCACCATGTGGTTGCTGGGAATTGAACTCAGGACCTCTGGAAGAACTGTCAGTGCTCTTAACCTCTGAGCCATCTCTCCAGCCCATAATATATATATTAGTGTTTTCAAGACAGGGTTTCTCTATGAAGCTTTGTAGACCAGGCTGGCCTCGAACCTTCAGAGATCTGCCTCCCGAGTGAGGGGATTAAAGGTGTGAGCTACCCAGCTCAGGATGGTACTCTTCATCACCAACGCTGCCCCCTCTTCACAACAAACGTGGGGTTCTCATTTCCCATCCAATGGATTTTCACTTTCTCACAGTTTTGTTGACTTCCTCTCTCTCTCTCTCTCTCTCTCTCTGATTTATTCTGTTGTACACATATGAGTGTCTTGCCTGCATGTATGTATGTCCATCACCTGCATGCCTGGTGCTCTCAGAATTCAGAAGATGGCATCAAATCCCCTGGAACTGGAGTCATGGGTGGTTGTGAGCCACCATATGGGTTCTGGGAACCAAACCCCAGGTCTTCTACAAGAACAAAAATACTCCCAACCACCAGCCCAGCACTCCACGTCTCTCTTCTGTTTTTCCTTGATTCTGTACTTGTTGGCTTTCCCAACAAAAACCAACAGTGAGGAGGGCTCTGAAGGCACAAAACAGCCCGAGTGGCACCACTATTGTTCTTTCTCTTGAGGGAACTGATGTAAAACGTTACTTTTGGAAGAGTGCAGTTCTGGCTGGTGTACATCCGCCATGTGGAGCCTCACCAGGAAAGACCGGGTACAAACTACCAGGGCAGTGTACTGCAGCAAGCATTACAGAATACATGGCCTGTGAGAATAGCCTGTGAATTCAGTGGTGTCCTGGGCTCTTTACAATGGTATGGAAGGAATTCACAGGTAGTAAAAAAAATCTATAGAATTTTGAGCTTTTCAATAAATTATATGAGTTTTTCAATAAATTATATGAGTTATTCTATAACTCATATTTATTTATGAGTTATAGAATTTAAACTCATAGTTATCTAAAAATGTAGGCTTTGTGCTGGGCGAGTCTGTCAAACTACAGGCTAATGTAAGTGTTCTAAACACATTTAAGGTTGGCTAGTCTAAGCTTTGATTTTTTTTTTTTTTGGTCTAATGGAGGTAATTACATCTTTAAAATGGGGTGGGGCTTGGTTTTGGGAATCCAATTCAGAGTCTCAAGCATGCTAAGCAAAACCTTGCCATTGAACTCCATTTCCATGCTCCACAGTGCCCCCCTGACATACGTTTCATTGTTACCATGGGCTATTTCTCTCTCTCTCTCTCTCCCTCCTGTGTTTAGGGATTGCAAACAGAGCCTTGGGAATGCTAGGCACACACTCTTCTGATGAGCTACACAGTCATTCCTGTGAACATTATTTGGTTAAAGGCTGGAATCCAAACCTCTGAGGAAAGGAGCATGTTGAGGGCTCCATCTCTGAGTTCTCTAACTGGGGGATCACGGCGAAGCAGCCCATGCTAGATGAAGTCAGGCTCAGGGAGGTCAACTATATATAAAACATCAGATCAACTTAGTTTTCCTTATAATCAACAACACAAGTTAAAAGTATTGGCATCATATAAGCAAAACTGTCCCAATACCAGCCTATAAGAAATAACTGGAATCCAGCCAGAGGTTTTATGGGGTAAAAAAGATTAAACTCAGATACTCCCCCAATCTGTCAGAAAAGAAACAATTTTCTCTCTTCTGTATTTGGGATGCTAAATGATAGATTTTAGTTTCAGAGACTCTACAAAACTGAGGGTGACACAGTAGGGGCCTAAGTGGGCTAGAAATAAATAGCTCTTGTTCCCTCCATACGAGGAATGTGTAACAGTAATGAGGCCCGAGAAAGGGTCATCATGGAGGGTGATGAGCATCCGATCACCACAGAGGTGTTTGTAAGGCTAAGAGAGACAAACTCTGTGGCTACACAGCTGAGAAAGGGCAGTAAGAAAGAGCAGACAGGCCGGTGAGGTGGCTCAGCAAGTGTGTTTGTGAGGATGTGTGATCGAGAGAGAGAGAGAGAGAGAGAGAGGGTGTGAGTGTATGTGTGTGTGTGGTTGTGTGAGGTAATGAGTATGTGTGTGTGTGTGTGTGCGTGGATTTGTGGTATGTCCTTTACAAGTGTGAGGATCTGGGTTCATGGTTCTGTAGAGAACAGAGTCATGAAAGTGCAGAGGTCAGACAACTTTTCAGGTTTGTATGTGTGTACCAATGAACAAATGAACATAAAATTCTTAAGAAAAAGTTGGATGAAATAAAATTAGCAGTTGGGAGTGTGCAGTTGTGGTCTCTTACCTGGTGTGTGCTTTTTGTAAGACCCCCTTACTTTCCAGGATTTTTTTTTTTTTGAGACAGTGTAGCCCAGCCTGGCCTCAAATTCAAGGCAATCCTCCTGCCTCAGCCTCTTGAGTGCTGGAATTAACAGGCATGGACCACTCATTTGAGTCCCCAAGATTCACAAATTTTCACCTTCAATGACGTAAGCAATATCACCCACCCAGGGATAACAGGAGGATTAAATAAGGTCATAAACACAAATTACATAGGACTCACATGTTAGGAGTGGATTATCAGTGACTATTGTTATCCATGAATAAATATTACATGATACTTAGCCCAGCTAGTCAGATAACTGTTCTATCACCAACATGAAGAATGTAGGTGACAGCCCATATATACTATTATATGAATAAGCAAGATGCTTTAATAGAAGTCATGCTACCTTAATAATTGGTGGATAATGTACCGTAAGAAAAGAAATTCAGGAGCTTGTCAGTTGTGTTGCTTGCCTTTAAACCCAGCACTCAGGAGTTGGAGGCAGGAGGATCTCTGTAAGTTCAAGTCCAGCCTGGTCTACAAAGCAAGTCCAAGGATAGCCAAAGCTACACAGAGAAACCCTGTTTGGGGGTGGGGGTGAGGTATGAAATTTACCCAACTTTCTAACACATGCTGAAGAAACTGTCTCCCTTTGTGTCTGGTCCAAAGCAGCACCCCGATGGCTGTGCTGACGACATTGCCTGAAACAGAGGGACTTTGGCCTGGCAGTGGATGAACTACAGGTGGTATTTGTTTATCAGAAACCTCTTTTAATTTGCCTCAATGATTAACTAACTGCCTTGGGCAGAGGGTGTTTAGTTGCCTGTCAATCCTAACATCCAGTATCTGCTCAAAAACCCCACCCTGCTGCCTTGTACAAAATCCCTTTCTCCTCCTCTAGCCTGTTCTCCTTTGTCCCTGGAGAGAGAGAGCCTTGGCATTTGGATCCCCAATAAACCTTTATTTCTACCCATGGAGTGGTCTAGTAAGTGGTCTTGTTGTGCCCTGGCTTACACTATGAGCAGTGGAAGGAGGAGCAGCCATGGAGTTTTGGGGGACACCCTTGTCAAAGCAGTTTGAGTAATTCCCTGAGAACCACTAGGCAGAGCCTAGAGAGGAGGAACACTGCTGCGATTCTGATGGAAGAGAATCTTACTTGGGCTGTATCTGTCTGAAAGGTTAGTCTTCCCTGTCAACGTCATAGCCAATCTCCAAAGGAGGAAAGACAGAATTTGCCACTTGATAAAATCAATCAAGAATCCGAATGTGATGGAGATTTTCAAAGGATCAATCAGACAAGGAAACTGTAATCACACAAGTAGTGTCGTCATGTTGAATATTCCGGTGGCCACAGTCTGAGGTTCGGTATTGTCTCTAAAGCATTGCCTTTTCCCTCTGAGCATTTGAAACAAAAGACAACATTGCTCAGAAACCTATGTAACCTTGTAAATATTAACCGTCTTCCTTGCTCTTTAATTTAGCTGTCATCTTAACAAGGTCTCTGCAGATTTAACACAAGCAGAAAAATTGAATTAAAGCAGGGATATTTTAGGAAATGGAGAGAAAGGAGGTGGGGACATGGCAAAGTGTGTTTCTTTACTTCTCAGTCTTATGCTGCAAAGCCTTAATACCTCCAATAAGAGATGAGCACAAACCAAGAAACCAAGAGCTCTTTGTGTAACATAAAATAATTGCTTCTAGGTCTCTGCCACTGTCTGATGACATGTAACGGCAAGTGTAGCATGAGGAAGCTCCATAAGGGTGCTTTTGGAAGCCTGGTCATGTTGGTGAAGTGTGCAGCCCTTTTCAGAATGCACCAGGAAGTCCTAACTTAAGTGACCAAGCAAGTGTAGAGGAAGACTGTCATGCAATTGTTTTTAAGACCATAGCGAAGCACAATGTCCATGTTATTACATCTTGTTACTGCTTTTGGTCTTTGTGTTTGCATGTGTGCTGTGTAAGTGGTGGAGCCCAGAAAGGCACTGGGTGTCTTTTTCTATTGCATTCCACCTTATATTTTGAGACAGATTTTTCAGTTGACAGGAAGCTCACTGTTTGGCCATAGAGCTCTTAAGGGAGCAGAGACAGGCATAGCCTAACACTGGGGTCACAGGCACACAAGGCTGTGCTTGGCTTTCACATGGGTGGTGCAAACTCATATCCATGTGATTGCACGGCAAGCGCACTTATCCGCCGAGTCATCTCTCAAGCCCCTTACAGTTATTATTTAAATAATATGTTAACGACTGTAATAGTATTCTATCTTTTTCATTTTAGTAGATCATGGAGCAAACAGAGTACTTATTCCCTTATGTCAATGCTGGATAGCCCTGAGGGTTGTACATGAGAGTGTTTTCTTTCCTGCAATTTTTCTTTTCCCTTACAGGCGTTCGCTAAAGAACCAGTGACGAATTATCTCAGAAGGGACAGACAGCAGGGCAAGATCAAAGAAAATCACCAGTTGAGGTTCTAATTTGGTTTGCCTCCTTCACTGTGCTCAGGGGCTGGGATCCTCACAGAGTACACGCGCCAGAAGTTCTATGGAGATCAGAGTAAAGTCTCCAAAGATGTTAAAGTCTCATAACTGTAAATGTCGTCTTATGTAGCAGAAGGGACATTGTGGAGGCATTAAAGATCTTGAGATGGGAGATCCTGGATTATGGGGGTGGACCTAATCCCAATTCAGAGATCCTCAGACATGAAAGAGTAGGCCCCACACCCAAGAGAAGTTAGCCAATGTAAACTGCACTCAATGGGTTTAGAGAGAGAGAGAACAAGAAGTTGGGTGGGTAAGAAGACTGAGGTAAGAAGACTGAGGTAAGAAGACTGAGGTAAGAAGACTGAGGTAGATCTGGGAGAAACTGGGGTAAATGATTAAGAAAACATTCTATAAAAATTTCAAAGGCTTAATGTTATTCTAAAAATAAAACAAAAAGAAAAAACATGAACCATCTCTTTTCTGACTCCAAGAAATACACCCCATCATCAAAGTTAGATACTACCTTAAGGGGAGAGGATAGAGAAAAGGATTATATGCTGACGGAATCAGAAAGCCATTGGGAATTGCTGTTGAAATGGACTTAAATACAAAACAAAACAAAACAAAACCAAACCCTACTCCCGAAAAGAGACAGAAGGTCACTTTATGCTGATTAAAAGCAAAGTCCATCAAGAGGACATTACCATTTGATACATCCCTGTATCAAATGCACACTCAATTTAATTAAATAGCTATAAAGTCACAGGTTGTGATGATTAGTATTGTCAACTTGACTGATCCCAGGATCATCTGGGAGATGTGTGCAGGCGTGGGAGGCATTATTTTGGTCATTTTAATGGGGGTGGGGAGACTCACCTACTGTGGGTGTATATCCTTGTTGGGATCCTGGGCCATATAAATAGAGAGGGAAAACTATCGCTCTCTTCTGATTGTGGCCATCATGTGACCAGCTGCTTCAAGCTCCTGCTGCTTTGAATTCCTTGTTTGATGGACTATATCTTGAACCATGAACTAAAATAAACTTTATCACTCCTACAACAACAGCAACAAAAAGAGACTCATCTGCTGTGGCTGGCTTTGAAAATGGAAAGCGGTCATGAGTCTAGGATCTCAACAGCCTTGAGAGGGTGAGAAAGGCCATGAAAGGCGGTTTTCTGAGAGCCTCTAGAAGGAATGTAACCCCATGGTCATCATGGTTTCAGTCTTCTGGGCTGATGTCAGACTTCTGACTGCCGAATATTCTATGACTGTATGTTTGTGCTGTTTTCAGCTACCGCTTCCCTGAAAACAGCTGAGAAGTCAATGCCAAAAATATAAGCAAAACCCACATCACCTTAGAAAGTGAAGTACATCAGTGTAATACTAAAAACCAATGGCCAACAGAATATTTGAAGACATTTGGACCAAATAGCAGCTGTGTGACAATTAACTATGATGATCACACTCCTATGAGGCCTTAACTTTTTTTTTTTTTATTTTTTGGTTTTACGAGACAGGATTTCTTCTCTGTATTGTTTTGGCGCCTGTCCTGGAACTCGCTTTGTAGACCAGGCTGGCTTCCAACTCACAGAGATCCTCCTGCCTCTGCCTCCCATGTGTTGGGATTAAAGGTGTGCGCCACCAATGCCCCGTTCCTACAGGCCTTTAAAATGTAGTTGTATTGTTAGAATTGTTTCCTTTCTAAAACAGCTGGCTAGTAGTTACCTAATGTAAATTCCTTGGTTCATACAGAAGAGGCTCCAAGAGCTAAAACCAGACATAGATTTGAGATGCTAAGTAGAAATCCAGCATCATAACGGGAAGCAGAGAGAGGCTGGCCTGAGAATGGATGGGCCTCTGCCATCTAAAGACAAGCAAAGGATGAGTGTAAGGCCTGAAAGCTATAGAGAGAAGATACTTTCCCAGTTCTCGGAGAGCTGCAGGAAGTGTCTCAGAGTAAAGGTCTGCACGCTATTGTTGATCATACTTGCACTTCTCTCATCAAATAAAGGTCTTAGATTTTAGATATGAAAAAAGAAAGGCAGAGCAAAACAAAAACAAGAAGGGATTGATTGCCTTTGGGAAGATGCCACATGGCTACAGAGTGGGCAAAAAGGTGGCGTGGGAGACACCTGGCACCACGTGGGAGACATCTGGCACCGGTTGTGTTCCCTCCCCGACAGATTTTGTTTTTTGTGTTTTGTTTTTCAAGACCGGGTTTCTCTGTGGCTTTGGAGACTGTCCTGAAACTAGCTCTTATAGACCAGGCTGCCCTCAAACTCACAGAGATCCACCTGCCTCTAAAGGTGCACACCACTACTGCTTGGCCCCCAACAGACTCTTAATGGTTGTGGAAACTTCAGGGAAGACTGGCAGGAGGCTGCATCTTTCCTGAAGCCCTTCCCTGGTATCTGCAGACTTCCAAGGCCCTTTCCTGCTGGAAATTCCTGTTCACTGCTGGGACATGCTAATAAGAAATAGACTACACCACAAACACGACGTTTAGGACCTGGGTTTGTTAGCTAGCCTCCACCTTGTTCCGGCTTCCTGCATTCTCCTATATGCTATGGTTAATCTCCTCTAACAACGATTTCATAGGCTACAGCCTTGGGCAATGTTCACTAAATTAAAAAAAAAAAATCTCTGAAGCAGATCCTTTGTCTGGCTCATTGTCATATGATCTGTAAAATCAGTCCTAGGGTCTCCAGGAAGAATTTAAATGTATTTATCTCTCTGCTCACATTCAAACCAAATCAGCCCCAAACTTCAGGCTATAAGTGATATCCTTGAACAACAAACCTTCTCATCGCCAGAGCAATGGAGTGAAAAACCCAGCTGCTGAATCTGACCTCCTCTGTACTGGACTGTTGATGGAGTTGGGAAATGTAATTTTAGATTTCTCAGTACCAGGGTCAGCTCGCCCTCGGCATTGGTGGCTCTCTCAATAATCTCTGTCCTTGTGCTTATCAGACAACATGTATCGAGTGTCCTTTGAAGGGATCTTTTTCCTCTTCTAAATGGCATGATCAGGAAGAAAAGTGATATATGCTGTTTCAATGGAAACCTGATATATGCTCAGAACGGCTACCGACCTCGGCAAGTCTAAACATGGGCAATGGACAGCAAGGGCTACTTTCTAGGGCCACACAAATGCAGCGGGCCAGGGTGGTGTGAGGGAGCTCAAATATGAACTTTATCCCATTGTTTTTTGCCTTGGAAGTCACGTTCTGAGAAACAGTAAAGGATGTCTTGGGTAGGGGTGTAGAAAGGAAGGAAGGAAGAAGGAAGGGAATTAACTTTATAGTTAAAGCAACTCAGAAAATTGTGGGAGAATTAAAAGACAATTCTTAGAAATTCTCGTCAGGTAATAAGCATGGGTGACCGTGGGATTTGTTGTTGTTTTAAATTTATATCTGGAACACATCATGGCACCTAGGACACAATTTGGGAATTTCTCACAAGCATCTCTTCCCATCCCATATTTGGGGGAGAGAGTGAAATTCAAGTTCTTAAATTCTGGGAGGACTAGTGGAAACAAGGTGTGGCCAAGGTTTTGAGTGAAGCAGCCCAAAGAAGGAACAGTGGGTATCCCTACAGATAGGCCACGTGGCACAGGTCCAGAAGACCTCTATACTTGATGAGCTAAAGATTTAATTTTTATTTTATGCCTGTGAGTGCCTGTATGTACGTCTGTGCATCATGTATGTGTCAGATGCCCTTGAGGGCCAAGAGAGAGCATTGCATATTCTGGAACTAGTGTTACAGGTATTGTGAGCTGTCATGTATGTGCTGGGACCCAAACCTGACTCCTCTGCAAGGGCCGCTGGTGTTCTTAATCGCTGAGCCATCTCTCTAGCTCCAGTTAAAATTATATTTGTACATATATGTGTGTGTGTACATGTATTTGTACATGTACATGAGTGTGTACATGTATGTATATGTGTGATGTGTGTGTGTGTGTGTGTGTGACAGAGAGAGAGAGAGAGAGAGAGAGAGAGAGAGAGAGAGAGAGAGAGAGAGACAGAGAGAGAGACAGGCATGTAGAGGTCAGAGGACAACTTGCAGGAGTCAGTTCTCTCCTTTAAATACATGGTTACCAGAAACTGAACTGAGGTCATCAGGCAAGCACCTTTATCTGCCGAGTCGTTTTCTAACTAGCTCACCATTTGATGAGCTAGTTGGAAAAAACACGAGTGGGACGAAAGTAAGTTACTCAGCTAGGTTGAATGAATGTGATTATGACTTCCGGCTTGCAAGCATTTGCGAGTAGGAGTTTGCATTTGCATTTACGATGGCAGTCATGTAAAGACGAACACTGGTTTTCTGAGGAAAGGAACCTTTCATAATTTCCCCACGCAACATTTTAAAAAAGACACTGAAGAATTAGTTCCTGTCATGTTTCCAGTATGGAAAAATGAATACAAAACTGAAACCAAGCTAATGGTGGTTTGTATTTTCTACTGTCTTTGCCAGAGTTAAATCTCCCCCGTCTTGCCTTGATCTGTAAGAAGCTACCCTCAGGAGAACTTTGAAAAATTTACTAATTCCTTTAACATATTAACACACAACACCCAAAGAAACAAGTTCCTGGCTGTGTGTGTGCTGCCTCTGGGTAATGTAATTTAGCTAGAGATCAAAGGTTAAGTGCCTCTTAGCTAAGGCAAGAGGTAATCATTCCCATTATGTGTATTTTTGGAAGTGTTTTTATTGTTAACACAAAATGAAATGGACATCCCCACCCACGAACCACTAATCGCTGTGAATCTGCATCTTGGAACACATTAGAAGAGGCAATTAGAAAGTTCTCATGGTCTCCAGAGTTCAAATGCAATTTTGTTATTTTAATTAGGAGTTTATTCTCTTACCAGGCATCGGAGTATCTTGTACCAAGGTACAGTGAAATAAAGAGCCATTAGCTTTTCAAGGTCGCCCAGGACTGTTTCCTATTCGTTGGCCCTGGCGGAGATTACAGCCTGGTAAAGTCAGTCCTACTCCTGCACCCGAGGGCTTCCATGGTTAGACCCTGACGCACGCATGTGGAGTCGCTTGCTAACCACTCGGCACTTTAAAGTCTTGAACCCTTCTGTCACCGAGTTCTGTGTTCACAAGGATATGGGCGTTATCTCTAAGCTACTGACTTCCCTTCTCCACTAGGAAACAGAAGAAGCCGTGTCCCTGGCATTCTGACCAGTTTCTCTAGTACTAGAGTGAGTGGAGAGAGTGGTGGGATTGGAGTCAGGCAGGACTAGGATCTAGGTCAATAGTTCTGTATGTAGAATCTCAAGAGCCTGGCCGTGGTAATGAAAGCCATGCAGTGATGGGGCGCTGTTCTTCTGTACATATGTTTCTCTTATTGGTTGATGAGTAAAGCACTGATCGGCTGATTGGCCAGGCAGGAAGGATAGGCAGGACTAGGAGAGGAGGAGACTTCTGGGAAATGTAGGCAGATGGAGTCGCCATGTAGC